CTGCTGCTTGGACAGGGGCACAGGGAGCCCCACACTGAGACCTCCTTGTCCTCCTTGCCCCAAGCACAGCAGCCCCGTCCCACCAGCCACAAATCCCTGCCACCATGGCAGTGCCACATCACCGCTGGGCACTGTCCCTCAGTCCTGGGAAAGGACAGTCCTAATTGTCTCCGTGTCTAATTAATTGTAATTATTTTCTTATGGCACCACTGATACAGGCGCTCGTGTAACGAGGCAGCAGCTCCTGTGTGAAATGCTGAAGCAAGGGATGTAGAACATGTTAAAAGATATTAATCTACAAATGAAAATGATTTTAATTGGATTCTGCTTTTGGGGTCGGGTCACTGCTCCATTTTCAATCAGAGTTGTCCAGTCAGCAAAGCAGCAGCACAGCCCTTTCATAGGGAAACAGCGAGTGGCTCGCAGAGGTTAATAGGAATGTTGGAAAATAAATAGGTTATTGATTGATAATAACAATAAGCTGACTCCAGTCCTACCTTGGTGACCTTCCCTCACCCAACTTAGAGAAAACTCAGTTAGCATCTAATTATGGATCGCCTCCCAATCCCACATATTAATGAGAGAGTGGCTGCACGGGCCTGGAGCTGCTCCCGGTGGAGGGAAGAGCCCAAACAGGGTTGATCCTAGAGAAATCGGGATCTGGGATCCTTTGGCATGACATGGAATTACAGAATGGTTTGGGTTGGAAAGGACCTTAAAGCCCATCCAGTGCCACCCCTGCCATGGGCAGGGATCCCTGCCACCATCCCAGGTTGCTCCAAACCCTGTCAAACCCAGCCTTGGATGCTTCCAGGGATGGGGCACCCACAGCCAGGGCTTCACCACCCCCACAGGGAAGAATTTTTAAGAATTTTTCCCTGATCCTCAACTAAACCTGCTCTCTGTCAGCTGAAAGCTTTATCCTGGTGCCCAACCAAGCCCCAGCCCCTGCCTTGCTCTGCAGGGTGGAAGAGGGAAGGACGGTGGCTCTGAGCTCTGTGAGTGACACTTTAACTGCCCCAAGATGTGCCAGGATGTCCTGCCTTCAGCTCCAGCCTCACTCCAGCTGCAAGATACGGAACAGACAGAGCTAGCTGGGGGAAAGAGAAAAGAGGGCTGCAGACAGTGGGCATGGACGGAGCTAAGGAGGATTTTCCTTGGATTTTCCTCGCCCAAGGTGAGCAGGCACTCTGACTGCCCAGGGCACCTGCTCAGCAGCCCCTGGGAGCTGCTGGCAGGGGTGATGCCTGCAAGTTTTCCCACTTAAGGTGGATCAAAGCCCGGCTGTGTCCCTGCGAGGGGCTGGGGACAGCAAACACAGGATGCTTCCCAGGATAAAGCTCCAGCATCTCATAAAAACCTGGATAAGGGTGAGCCCAGCTGCATCTGCCTGCCAGCTGAAAGGGAACGAGGGGAGAATGGAAGCTCTGTGTGGGATTTTATGCCTTATTTGCAGAAGTGGGAACAGAGGCACTAACCCCGTGCGGGGCGGTGGCTCGGGCAGAGCTGAGGACATGGAGCTGCTCCTGGGCTGCCTCCCTGCCTGCCCCCCGGGTCCCTCGGCAGCTCCAGGCCAGCGCTGGGACATTTGGGAAGGCAATGGGGGCATTTGGGAAAGGCAATTGGGGGATTTGGGAAAGGCAATGGGGCATTTGGGAAAGGAAAACGGGGAATTTGGGAAAGGCAATCGGGGAATTTGGGAAAGTAATTGGGGCATTTGGGAAAGGCAATTGGGGGATTTGGGAAAGGCAATGGGGGTATTCACAAACCCTCCGGCAAAGCCCTTCCCGCGGGGCCCTCGGTGTGGTAGAGCCCCCAAAATGCCCCGGATCCTTTCCACAGAACCGCGGCTCAATTTGATGTAAATAAACATCACTTCTGCCGCTCGTTCCCTGTCACACGGGCTGGGGGCACGGGCTGTGACACGAAAAATACCCGGAAAATCAACCCGGCAGCCCGGCTGCTGCCCCCCGCCCCGCCGGGAGGGGATGGAGCCGGGACCCCTCCCCACGGCCGGGGGGGTCCAGCCTCCCCCTCCGCAGAAAGGCAGGCGGGAGCCGTGTCCTTCTTCCCGTGTGCCAGCCTGGAATGGCAGAACCGCGCTCGGTTTGTGCTGGGAGGCGCTTAAAGCTCATCCCGTCCATTTCCCACCCGCGGGCAGCGACACCTTCCACTGTGGCAGGCTGGTCGCTCCAAGCCCGGTCCAGCCCGGCCTCGGGCACTTCCAGGGCCGCACCCGGGCACGGATTTTCCTGGAGCACGAGCTCCACCTGCCGCCGCCCTCCGAGCCCGGCCCGGCACCGCCGAGAGCCCCGGCAGCGCTGCCCCCGGGGCCGCCCCGGCTCGGGGGCTCCGTGCCCGCCCTGCTCCCCGCGCTGGGTGATGCCACCGCGCCCCCAGAGCCACCAGCCGGGCTGCCCGGGGCTGCCAGCCCTCCCGTGCCCCTTGTCCCCTCCGCCCACCCAGGGCCCCTCCGGTGCCGCCACACCCCCGGTGACCCCGGTGATGCCGCGGTGAGAACGGCCTGTCCTGGGTCCCCCACACCCCCACGGGAGCTGGGGCACCCCCAGCTCAGCCCCACAGGGCTCCCCCAGCCCCGCACGCTGCACCAAGACAGAAGAGAAAGGAGACAGCCAGGTGGTTGCACACTTGCCATGTTCACAGTAGACTTTACAGGCTGTGGGGACGTCCTCGGGGCTGTGGGGACATCCTCGGGGCTGTGGGGACGTCCTCGGGGCTGTGGGGACATCCTCGGGGCTGTGGGGACGTCCTCGGGGCTGTGGTGGCTCAGGGGACTCCCGGCTGGTGGCTGTGCCCGCAGAGCAGGGGCAGCCCTGAGCAGCTTGGAGCGCCCTGGGCAGGACAGTGTCCCCAGGGCTGCACCTCTGCCCGTGTCACTGCTGGCGTGCCCTGGCCACACGGCCACCACCACAGCTGAAAGGGGGTCTGCACCTCCTGCCCCTCTCCAGGCAGCTCTGGGGACACCAGCAGAGAGGGATGGACAGACAGACAGAGGGATCAACTCCTGCCAGCCACGGGGACTAGGGAGCAGGGACAGGCAGCCCTGAGGTGCAGGAGCAGAGCAAAGGAGCGACCTGGCTGTTTGGGTAAAGCCTCTCTGCCCTTCTGCCCTGCTCTGAGGGGGGAGCAGCCACCCACGGGCACTGGTGGCCTGTCCCCACTGTGCAGGGTGACACTTGCCAGCTGCATCCTCTGCCATCGAGGTGACTGGTGGTCCCACGGCTCCCCTGGGGGACCAGCCTGGGGAGGTCCCCCTGGGGGCAGGGGGGCTGCTCTGGAGCAGAAGGGGGGGTCTGTGGGGTGGGGAGGAGGGTCCTTCACAGAGGTGGGCTCTGACAGCTCCCGCCCAGAGCTGGTGGTGCTCCTGTCCTGTGCAGGAGCCCTGAAAGAGCCCTGAACCTGCCCACCCTGGGCGTGACCTGTCCCATTCCTGTCCCATTCCTGCCCCTGTGCTCCCACTCTGCCCTGGCTCTCCCTTCCATCAAACCCCGTCTCTCCACCCCATCCCGGTGGCAGCTGTGCAAGGGAAGGGCCCTTGGGGGATTAGTGGGACAAGGTGGAGGTTGGACAGACACGGAGCCGGGTGGGGAGGGGACCCCCATCACCCTGAGGGAGATCCCCCAGCTAAAGGAGCAGGCTGGGCTTGGCACCTAGCAGGGGAGGTGGCAGTGTCACAGGGCCACCCAGGGGAGGTTGCAGTGTCACTAGGCAACCCAGGGGAGGTGGCAGTGTCACGGGGCCACCCAGGAGACCCCTCTGGCTCTGCTCCCAGTGCAGGCAGGAGAGCTGCTGTGGGGTGACAGTGACATCAGCCAGTGACAGCGGGTGCTCTGGCTATGGGAGCAGAGAGCACAGGCCAAGCCAAGAGTGCCAAGCTGGGCCCTGTTGGACCTGCCCCCCCTGACAGAGCTGCTGTGACCCCCAACAGCCACAGTCTGGGATGTCCCCATGAGCCAGCAGCACAGGGCCACCACCCTCTAGCTGGCACACAGAGCCAAGCTGGGCCCTGTTGGATCTGCCCCCTGACAGAGCTGCTGTGACCCCCAACAGCCACAGTCTGGGATGTCCCCATGAGCCAGCAGCACAGGGCCACCACCCTCTGCTGGCACACAGGGCGTGGCTCTGTCCCCCTGAACGCTGTCATTGTCCTGCCACGTGCCAAAGCCACTCAGGGCCTGGATCCTTCACCCTGGCAGGGTCCTGCAGAGGCTGGGGGCGTTAATCTGGCTGACGGACACAAAGCAAAGGCCAGGCCGTGCCCCCATCACCTGATGGCAGAGCCCCTGTGACACCCACCCCAGTCCTTGGCTGGCACCAGGGGACCCTGCAGTGACACAGAGCTGAGTTAGTCTCACGCTGCCAGCAGCAGCTTCCACATGCACCAGGCACAAGAGAAACTGTGGAGAGACACAGGGGGTGAAGAGAGGAGCCCAGGAGCACCAACGCTGGGAGCAGCATGAGAACATTGCCCATGACAGGTGACCTGGGGCCTCAGGAGAGCCCCGAGCTCAGGCTCACGGCAATGGCTTTGCTCTGTGGCTGAATCTCTCTGCAAACTGGGTTTGCTGGGCCTCTACAGCCACTTCCAGTCATTATTAATGGGTTTGTGCTGTCCTGTTGCCACTCAGCCACTTTTCCTCATTGTGCCACGTGAAATTTTTTGGAAAATGGGCCAAGAGCGAAAAATTCAAAGTGCCCCAGGCTGAGCATCGTCTTTCCCACGGTACCCAACGGGAGCCAGGGATGCTCAGCAGCACGGAAAATGGAGTGCTGCAGGTGAGTAAGTCCAGGAGGAGCCACTGTCACTTGTCATGGCAAACAGCACCCGAGAGGCAAAGTGCAAAGAGAGTTGTTAGTAGCAAGAGAGAAACAGGGAGGATTAGTACAGTGGGAACAAAGTACAGGTTAGTAACAGAAGCAGGGCACTGGTCTGCCTTAGAGGACACACACACTGCAAGAGAAATGAAGAGAAAAGCAGCAATGGTTAGTTTGTTTAATTCAGTTCAGGAATGTGTTAGTAACAGAGATCTACTGGCTTAAAAAGGAACTGAAAAGCTTCTGCTGATAAAACCGTTTTAGGCTCCTAGTCAGCAACAGGCTCCACAGGCAGAGCTGGGCAGGGCGTGTGGGGAGAAACCCTCTCCTCGTGTCCTGGAGGCAGGGGCTGCTGTCCCCTCTCCTGACCAGGACAGAGACTGCTGTCCCCTCTCCTGCCCAGGGACCAGCATTCCCCTCTCCTGCCCTGGACAGGAGCTGCCTGCAGGGGCAGGAGCTGCCCAACACCACTCCTGCCCAGTGCTGGGCAGCCAGTCCTCTCTCTCTCTGCCTGTGCCTGCCTATCCCTGCCTGTGCAGCCTGGCACTGATGCCTGGCACTTCCAAAGCCTTTTTCCAGCTTTTCTGTTCCCCTTTAAAGGCAGCGCTGCTGCCGTGGTTAGTGGGCAGGAGGCAGGGCTGCTGTGGGTTAGTAGGGCATGCGCTGGGCTGGTTAGTGGGTTAGTCCGTGTGCCAGGGGCCGTGGCAGCCCCGGGGAGGGCACAGGGGTCCCAGCAGGTTAGTAGGTTAATGTTGGCAGCATGCAGAGCCAGGCCCAGCAGCAGCAGGGCTCTGGCTCACAAGAGCAGGAGGCGTTTTTGGGCTTTGGCATTTGGGGAGGTGTTAGTGGAGGGTTTAGCTGGTGTAACAGAACCTGTCTGAAAGAGATGCTCAGCAGGCATCTGCCCCTCTGATCCTGCCAGGGAGGTACCGGAGGCCCCTCACAACATGTACTTCCCACCCCTGGTGCTGGGAAAGGTGAGAGACAGGATGCATGGAGGACACAGCCCCAGCAGTGCCTAAAGGACTCTGAAGGAGCTGGAAGAAGCAGAGAAGGGGGTTGGGGGGTGAAAGAATCACTGGCAGTGTCTGGGGCAAGGCTCCAGCACAGACCACAGCAGCTGCTCCAGGACTGACCAAGCTCCCACTACACATGCAGGGAGGAGGAGATCCAGCAGGGAAAACCACCGTGGAGCAGAGGAAAGGTGACCCACAGCTTATCCCATCCCCTTTGGAAGCTGCCTCTCCATGGGGCTGAGCACTGCTCCAAGGGCTGCAGGAGCACTGTGCCCCGAGAAACAGGGCTGGGATGGGGCACCCAGGAAAGCCTCTGCCCCGAGTCCCTCTGGGTCACCTCCTCCCATGGCAGGAGCTCCTCTGGTCCCCAAGAGACACTTTTCCAGCTTGGACTTCAAGGCTGTAACACCTGCCATGAGCTGTGCCTGCCCCCAGCCCACTGCACCCCCGTCCTTCTGCCTGGGTGGGGACAAGGGCCCGAGTGGCTGCATGGTGAGGACAAGGTCCCACCCGCTTACAGGGCCACTGCAGGGGCCAGGGCAGGAGGATTCACTGCCCTTGCTCCTCCCCAAGCTCCAGGGTGCTCCAGAAACCAGGTGTTTCAGCAAGCATCAGCCAGAGGGAAGGGCAGGATCAGTGGGGACAAAGAGAGCCCCTTTGGGCTCTGGCCATCGTGTCACCTTGAGGAGCTGGCACTGCTCTGCCCCCACTCCCTGCTCCTACTCTGTGCTCAGGGAAGGGGACAGGCCTGGGGGGAGCAGAGGGAAGCAAGGACAGCCCAGCACCTTGCAGGAGAACCATGTGCACACGCAGCCCCGTGTCCTCAGGTGTCACCACCGCAGGCTCCTGGGCCGTGTCCCCCGCAGTGGCCGGGCTGGTGGCTCCACGCCATGGCAGAGGGTGCCAGGGTGCTCTGCTGGGGCCAGCCCGGCTCTGGCATCATGTTCTGGTGGTGATGGCAGCTCCTGGGCCTGGCTCCCCTCTGGGCACGGTCAGGGCAGGAGCTGGGCCGTGCCCCTGGGGTGGTGGCACTGAGGAGCAGAGATGCTGTGAGACCCTGGGCTGTGGCAACCACCCCCTCCCCACTGCTGGGCACACCTGGGGGGGACATCCTCTCATGCAGGTGGCCCTGGGGATGGTGTGAGCCCCTGCACCCTGCTGGGGCCTGGGGAGAACCCTCCAGGAGATGGGGCCCTGAGAAGGAAGGATGATCCCAACTTCCCAGCACCTCCCTGCACACGAGGGGTGGAAGAGCATGGGGCTGGCACTGCCTGTGTCCCCTCCCCAGAGTCCTACCTGTGGTCACCAGCTACGGGAGTGCTGTGCAATGTCCCCTGTTCCACGTGGCTCTGTGCCATGGAGGCAGCGAGGGGACTGTGTGAACAGACCTCAGGTCAGTCATTAGCAGCTGCAAAAGAAACAACCAGCGCAGCAAGGGGGACAAACAGGGCACCATCCTGAGGCACAGCCCAGCCAGGAGCCTGGCAGGAGGGTTGGGCACGCACCCCCCTGTCCCTGTCCCCTTGCAGGGTGAAGGAGCTGAACCAGGCACAGGGGGGCATCGGAACCACAACACCAGAAATGGTGGCAATGCCCCAAACTGCCCCTACCTCACTGGAGGCAGGGACTGATTGCCAAAGCCACTGCCACTTTTGCTGCCACCTCTACCCCTGCCGTGGGGTAAAGCTGAGTCTGGGAGCCTGGGTTCCACAGGCACTGGTTAAACTGGGGCAACTGGAGGTCACAGCCGCGCTGCAGAGGGTGCTGCTCCATCTCCTCGGGGATTTGGGGGCACGTGGCCGGTGCCAGCAGCCAGCCCATGTCTGTGCCCTGCCCTGCCCTGCCCTGCCCAGGACAGCAGCAGGTCCCGGGGCAGCGGGGCCGTGGTGACACCGCAGTTCAGCTGTGGAGCCGCTCCTGCTCCCCAGGGCTCATTGTCACCACAGCCACCGGCGCTGCGGGCAGGACAGTCCCTGCCCTGGGGACAGCGCTTGCAGCCCAGCTGCGGGAATGTGGAATGGCACCGAGCATCTGGCACACGGATCCCCGGCTGGATCCGAGCACAGGGAGGTGCCTGTGCTGGGGCAGGGTGGCCTCTGTGGCCTGGGAATGAAGCACATCCCAGGGGACAGGGAGGGAAAACAATTTTGTGCAGACGGGGCTGGCTTAAACGCTCATCTTGGGTGTGAGCTTGAGCTGCCTCTGCCACACTCGTGGGTGGCACATACAGCGGCCCTGGGGGCTGGACGCCCGAATTAAATGGGGCTAAACCCCCTCCTCGAGTGAGGAGAGAGGGAGGAAGAGGAGCACAAGCTCCACTGCGGGCAGGAGCAGGGAGATGAGGGCACAACAGGCCAGAGATCCCAGAGAGATGATCTGTGGGATGTGGCATCCGGGCACCCTGACCCCCCAGATCCCGGCAGGGTGGGCAGACACCCCGGCCCTGTGCCCTGCCAGCTCTGCCCGAGCCTTGCTGCCATCCAGCAGAGCCCAGGCTCTGGCACTGCCCAGGCTCCGGTGCTGCTGCAGGGGTGCCAGGCAATGCTGCCTTTGTCTGCAGCTCTGGGGCTGGGCAGCCCGGCAGAAAAGGGGGGTGAAAGGCTCCTTGCAAGCCCACAACCCCTGAAAATCTGATTATTTCTGGGCTCCTCCTGGCTCCCAGGGCAGGACCAACCCACACACACAAAAGGCTGGGAGACAATGAGGGAGAGAAAATGGCTCCGCAAGAAGAGCATCTGCCAGGTTAAGGCTGAGGAGGAGGAAGGGCTGGGCTGTGCCTGAGGCTGCCGGCCCCAGCCTCGCCTCTAACCCCGCCTGGGATCATCAGCTTTAGGAGAAAACGGGGGCTTCGAGACAAAGCAGTAAAACAGCATTTTGGCTACAAATCCTCCCAGGAGCATTGAAAATCAGGCAAGAATCCATTTACCTGGCAGGAGCCCTATTCTTGATGAGGATTCTGGAAAAAAAAAAAATACAAACAAGCAGTGCAGCAGTTAGTTCTGATTTGAGGGGGGGGCTGCAGGCAGTGTCCGGGGTGGGTGCCAGGCTGCCCAGGACCGGGATCACCGGGATGCGGCCGGGAACACGCTGCGGGATGCGCGGCTGCTCCTGCCCGAACAAAGGGAGGGGGCCCTGGCTGCTCCCCCCGGGGAAGGAGGGGGTCCTGCCGAGGGGGGCCTCTAGTGGGGTTATTTATAACCAGGGAATAATACATTGAGAAGGAGGGTGTTTTTTGGGCATGGAGAGGAGGGAGCGGCCGGCTCCGCACCTCCGGGAGCGGTGCCCGCAGGACCCCCCCGAATCCCGGCGCGACATCGCCCCCCGCTCCCGCCGGAGGTGGGGGCGGCCCCCGGGGCTCCCCGCGCCCCCAGACCCCACCGGCGCCCCATCCCGGCCCGCAGGGAGCGGAGCCATGCCCGCGGTGCGTTACCTGCTCCCGGGGGCCGGGCTGGGGCTGGGGGGCGCCGGTTCCGCTCGCTCCTGCCCGCCGCGCCGCTCCTTTGTGCTGGAGCTTTCCCAGAGCATCCCCGAGGAAGAGGCGGCCGAGCAAACTCCTCCTCCAGCAGCCCCCGGCCCCCCCGGCCCTACCTACGGCGCAGGAGGATGCTGCAACTCGCATTAAATTTTAATGCTGGAAATGCGGCCGAGTCACCTTTTCCCCGCACCGCTCCCGCTGCGGGAGACCCTGGGGACCCCTTTACCACGACAGCCGCTGCCAAGGCCACTGTCACCCTCTGCCAAGCATCGCTCACCGTGAAATCACGGGCTCCCCACAGCCATGGGTGTGACGCAGGGGACGCGGGACAAGCGGGGCAGGGGCTGTCGGGCACATCCCTGGGGACATGGTGGCACAGATGGGGTGGGGACGGATGGCAGACAGGCCAGCCCGGCCTGGGGACACATCCCTGTCCAAGGACAGCTCCCCTCCCGCGCGGGGGTGGTGACAGCCCCTCCGCAGCGCCGAGCAGCTGCTGGGCTCCCGCATTGTTCTCCGAGTCCCCGCCGGCTCCCCGGGGACCCCTGGTGTCGCCGCCAGCTGCCCACCGTGCCTGGCCATGTGCTGGCCCCGCTCCCGGCCCCCGCGTCCCCCCAGGGCTCTGGAGCTGCGCAGGGACAGGGGTACCCAGGGCAGGGGTGACAGGATCCGCTCCTCGGGTCTCTCTGGCTGCCGGCCCCGGATGGGTTTGCCCTGGGGCGCAGGAGGGTTTCATTCAGCCCATCCCACAACTTTTTGTTTCTGCTTCTATTTAGCCTTTTTAATTGTGATTTCCTGCGGAGTGAATCCCTTGCTGGGCAGCATTCCCTCCCCTGGTGGCCTTGCTGCTGCAAATGTCATGGATGGGACATTTTCACCACATAAAACATTTCCTCCAGAGCTCTTCTGAAATGAGGAATTTTTCCAGACCGGCCCTTCCCGGCTGCATTTCCAGCTTTGGCTGCACACTGGGTGTGCGGGAGTGAGGGATGGGTGCCGGGATGGGTGCAGGGGTGTGTACAGCTGGGTGAGAGTGCTGGGATGGGTACAGGGTGTGCATAGACACGGGGATAGGTGCACACTGCTTGATCCTGCAGCTCCTCTCAGCCCCTGGCAGGTGCTGGAGGAGCAGATGGTGTCTGTGTGGTGGTGGGGTGTGGGGGTCCTGCAGAACCCCTGCACCTCCGGGCAGAAAAATTCCCCTCCACCTCATCTCTGCCGGGCAGAAAAATTCCCCTCCGCCTCATCCCTGCCGCTGCAGAGCCCCTCTCTGCCTCCGGCAGTGTCACCACTCCCGGCCACGCACCCCCATGGCCCTTGTCCCCAACTGCCAGCGCCGCCTTGGACAACTGAGCCTTTATTGAGCTTTGTCCCCGCGGCTCACACGGCACCGCGCTCACTGCTGCACCCTGCGGATGGACTGGACCTGGCCCGTCTGCGCGTGGGACCCCCACTCCCGCACGTGTTTGTACTCGCCCGCGGGGCTGTCGCTCTCCAGGAGGTACTGAAAGCCCCGGTAGCCCGGGTACTGCGAGCAGACCCACCTGCGACAGAGCAGAGAGCGGCGCTGGCCCGGGGCTGGCGGCGCCGCGGAGCCCCCGCGGCTGCCAGAGCATCCCCGGCCCCGCTGCCCGAGCATCCTCAGCTCTCTGCCAGAGCATCCTCAGCTCTCTGCCAGAGCATCCTCAGCCCTGCAGCCCGAGCATCCCCGGCCCTGCTGCAAGAACATCCCCGGCCCTGCTGCCAGAGCATCTTCAGCTCTGTGCCCGAGCATCCCCGGCCCCGCTGCCCGAGCATCCTCATCCCTGCTGCCCGAGCATCCTCAGCTCTCTGCCAGAGCATCCCCAGCCCTGCTGCAAGCCCCGGGTACTCACGCGCCGGAGCGGACAAGGAAGGAGCCCACGGTGCTGCTGCCCCAGCCCAGGGCGGGCAGCGAGGGGCAGTCGTCGCTCATCTCCGCCCGCTTGCCCTGGAAGTTCTCCTCCTCAAAGAGCATCAGCCTGCTCCGTCCGTGGTCCTGCGGCCGAGACGGGCACGGCTTTGGCGCTGCCACCCTGGCCAGCGGTGGGCTCCGGGGGATGCCCCGCGGGGGGAGCCGGGGCGGGGGCACTCACGGCGCAGGCGATGGGGCGGAAGGAGCACATCCTCTCCACGTGGTAGGCGTTGCTGCCGCTCCACGCCTCCCAGCACGGGTACTCGCCGCGCTCCAGCACGAACTGCTGCCCCTGGAAGCCGCAGTGCTCGAAGCCTGCCCACCTGCCGGGGCGGGAGGGGTGAGACCCCCGGCGCGCCCACCGCCCCGCTGGCAGCCGGGCTGTGCTCGCTGCACCCAGCGCTGCCCACAGGAGGCAGCTCGGGTAGCAAAAGGCTCTGGAGGCCTCCATCCTCCAACCCCCCTGCTAGCCGGGGGTCCCGCAGCAGCGTGGGGTGGCCGTGCCCCGGGACCCCCCACTCACGCCCCGCTCTCGATCTTGCAGGAGCGGACGGTGCTGAAGCCGTGCTCCGGGGTGCTGTAGCAGTCGGTGGTGAACTCGTGCTTCTTGCCCTGGAAGAAAGGCTCATCCCACACCACCATCTGTGGGGGAATGGGGGGAGTCAGGGGCTCTGGGGGTGCAGAGGTTACAGCCCCATTCCCGGGTGTTCACAGGGCAGGGTGCTGGTCCTGCGGGGCTCCTGTACCTTCCAGAGACCAGAGGATTTCTTGCAGCGGTGCGTCATGGTGGCTCTGCCAGAGCACAGGGGAAGGGACAGTTAAAGCTGTCTCTCTGCCCAGATGAAAATGACCTCAGGAGCCCTTATTGTCACCCTTCACCAGCAGTTGGGGGACAACAAGGGGTTTGCTCCATGCTGGAGCGGATGAAGAGCTCTGTGGCTCTCCCTGCCCGGCTGCAGCTGCCACCAGGGCCATGTGGAGCAGCGGGCACCTGGCCCAGTGGGCACCTGGCCCTGGCAGACATCCCTGCCCGTGCCTGGGGAAACTCCTCCTCCCACTGGCAGCTCCCTGAGCCAAAGCCCCGGTGCTGGCAGGGCAGTGCTGAGCGGGGAGCACTGCAGAGTCAGCTGTGTGCCCACACTGACCATCAACACCTGCCCCTGCCACAGCCAGGGACAGCCCCCAACCCCCAGCCCCACCACAGCTCCTGGTGCCAAGGAGAGATCTAACCCTGGATCTTGGGTGTTCCCACAGCTGCTTGCTCCCAGGCCCTGCCGTGGGCATGGGGCAGCTGCCCCAGGCTCCAGCGCTTACCTGGGGTGAGGCACTGGTGCCCAGTGAGGTGACATGTCCAGCAGCCTCTGGCTGGGTTTTTATAGCCTCCAGATAGAGACAGAGCCCAGGGGAGCATTACTGAAACCCCTAACTCAGCACATGGCGGGGAGGAGGGACCGGCCGGAACAAAGGCGCCGTGTCAGAGACGCTGATGAGCCGGGACATGGAGCTGGCCCACCGGGCACAGGCTCTGACCCCCTCCCCACAGCTCCAGGGCTGGGGTATCAGCCCTGGGTACTGTCAGTGCTCCTGCCATGTGCCCTCCCTGGTGCAGGGCTGGGCTGGGCCATGTCCCAGCTCTGGCAGTGCTGCCTGCTCGGGGGCACAGAGAGGTTTCCTCACCCCTTTCTGGGAAGTGGGAGGAATGACACGTCTCCACTTGCTCTCCCTGCAAGGGCAGAGCAGCTCTACCCTAAATCCAGGGTGGCTCCTTGCAGGCTGGGCACACAACAACCATGGGCACCATAAGAACTGGGCACCAGGGGCATGGAAAGTGGTGGTGGGGGGTATAAAAGGCACGGGAAGGACTGGAGGTGCAGATCATGACTAGGGAAGAGCTGCAGCCACCTCCTGCCTCTTTGTGCTGGAAAGACTCTGCTGTCACCACATTTTGGGGACCTAAACACCTTCCAGCTTTGCTCACAGTGACCCACACACCTCACAAATCATCCCGGGGTAGTGCCAGGGCTCCACAAAGGCTGGGCAGAGGCACCCACCCAGCCTGCCCCTCGGAGCGGGCAGCAGGCAATGGAGGCTCTTGAGCCCAATGGGAAAACCCGTGTCCACAGGGAGTGCTGTGTTTTGGGACAGAACTTGCTAGAAAACTGCCAGGAGGCTGAGCCAGAGTCCCCCTGATGCAGCTGCAGCAGCCCTGTAAGCCCCGGGCACTCTGGGGGAGGCAGAGCAGGGCAGCTGGGGAGGCTCAGCACAACGGGTGCCCCAGGGCACAGCAGGGCTGCACGGGACCTGCAAGCCCAGCAAAAGCCCTCTTGGCACTGGCACAATTTGTCCCTGGCCTCTCGCTGTGGCCTGAGCTAAACCCAGCTTGCATGGCCACCAGCACAGTGACCACCACTCGCTCACTGTCCACGCCGTGTCCTGGCAGTGTGACACGGTCACTGGAGCCTGTGCCCCCACGGTGCCACTCATGCCTGGCAGGGATGCAGCAGCAGGAGATCCACGGGCAGCAGGACTCACCAGGGCAGAGCAAACCCTCGTGCCTGTGCCCTCCGTGCCCACACTGTGCCAGCTCTGGCCATCTGCTGCCAGGGCAGCTCTTTGCTGTGCTGGAATTGTGCATCTCTGTGCCAGGGAGGGATGGTGCAGTGAGGGCACAGGGTCCATGGCAGGGCTGAAATTTTGTGTCTGGGGGGCTCAGGGATGGCCAAGGATCAATCCCTACTGTCAGCCCTGCCACAGCACTGGCTCAGGGAAGCACACGGGGATGCTGGGTGCTCAGTAAGGAGCAAAGCACCATCAGGAGCAGGGCTCGGCCCCTCCGAGCTGCTTTTCCAATGCCCAGGTTCAAAGGTGCTGGAGATTGGGAGGGGAAGCAGAGTCAGGAGCAGGGGGTGGGGAGACCTGGTGATTAATGCCCAGGAGACAGCACAGGGAGAGCACCCATGCTGGTTCTAGGAGGAAGAGAGGGCAGGTTAAATTAGAAATCTGGGTAAAAACCATGGAAACGAGCGCAAATTGAGATCATGAATCATAAAACACTGCTCAGTGCCAAGGTGAGAACCAGACTGAGCCAGTGCCCAGGGTGATGGGGCAGCATACCTCACACCCAGCCACGTCACGGGCACAGCACACCCCCTGAAAAACCTCGGGAAAAGAAGGGATCAATCCATTCTTTTTGCTGGGGATTTTGCGCAGTGGCCCAGAGGGTGCAGCTGGACCCCACCACTGCTGGGTGACACATGAGAGGAACAAAAGAGGATGGCAGCACACGGGGCTCTGAGCCCTGTGCCCGCACAGCCCGGCTGAGGCACTGCTGGTGCTGGATGCTGCGGGAAGCTGGACAGGGGTGTGGAGATGCAGAAAAGCTGATCAGGGGCTCAGAAGGACCCAGGGGAAGGTCCCCCTGAGGTGCCATGGGGTGGGGGAGATGTGGCACCAGAGGCTGTGGTGCTGCAGGGACTGGTGCCAGTGTGTCCCCAACCAGCCACCCCACGACCCTCCTGCACCAGTCGGACAGAGCTGATGCCCCAAAACCATGAGTGTGGTGGTGGCAGAACCAGGGGTGGTACAGGGTGACCACAGCACGGGGAAAATGAGCTAAAAAGCAAAGGAAGAACCCTGCCAGTGAGCGGGGACGTTCCCAAGGGAGAACAAACACTGTTTTCAGGCACTCAGGTGGTTCGCAAAGTGTCAGCTTCCATTACACATCGTTTGGAAAACACCGGCTCCTGAAGCACTTCAGAACACTCAGGTCTCGCTCTCTGGCATCTCCAGGGCAGCGCTGCCGACACTCGCGGGCACGGGGCGATGTTCCAAGCGGGAGGTTCCGTGTTTGGAGGGGAGGAACGGGCACGGCGGGGCTGCGAGGACAGCGCGGTGTCGCCGCGGGCCCGGGCCCGGCTCGCTGGGCAGGGGAGCTGTTCCGTGCCGGTGCCGGCGCCGGCCGGGCCGTGCCAGGGCTATATATGCCCTGGCGGGGCGGCCGCACGCGGGGTGCCGGGCGCGCTGCAAAGTGGCACGGTCAGGTCTTCTGTTGTGCCGGGGGCACAAAGGAAAGTGCTGGGTTCAGCGGCTGGGCACGGGGCCGGGGAGAGGCTTCCAGCTCGCCCAGCGCTTTGCAGGATGTGATGACTGGGCGGCCGCGCAGACACTGATGAGCTGGCAGTTCCTTTGTGAGCCCGCCCGGGGGTCTGCCCTTGCCAGGCTATAAAGTGGGGGCCTCGCGGCGCCCCGAAACACAAGCCCGCTCACTCCAACAAGAAGCAGCAGCTGCCCAGGTAAGAGGACAAAGTCCCCGGACACCGGGCTGCAGCCGGACCCGAGGTGGGGAGAGGGAAACTCAGGGTCTAAGCCGTGGCCACCGCTGTGGTGGTCACGTCTGGGAGCACCTCTGTGCTCAGCATCCCACCGCCCTCCTCTCCCCGGGGAGCTGCTGCTGGCACTCACCTGCGGGGCCACAGCAGGGTGCCAGCTGCAGGGCCTCAGCAGACCAGGGCTGTCCCCTTCCCACCCCTCACACGCTGCCCGGTGCCCCCCGGGCTCCCAGGTGCACCCCGTGTGGGATGGCCCCAGTGCCTGGCACAGCATCAGGCCCCATCCCTGGGCACTCCTAAAGGGCTAGGACCATGCTCAGGGCTCTCCTGACCACAGAAGGAGAGTATGGACTTCAGGACATCCTGTGATCCCCCTGATGAAGGCAGGATCCTTGCTGGAGAACCTTCCAGCAGCTCCTCCCCTGGCCCTGCCCACCCACCCCACTGAGAGCCCCCATCCAGATGTCACCACTCCTGGGGTATGTTGTGGGTGCCCACATCCATTTCTCCCTCTAACCTGCTGCTGGTGCCCTGTGACAGACTTGAGCCCACCACCGCGATGTCTGAGACCACAAAACCCGCTGCTCCCGGCCAGGCTGTGGATGACAAGGAGAAGGCAGCTCCTGCTCCAACTCCATCCCTCGACCCTGCTCCTGTCGCAAACAGCAAGGGCGAGGAGCCCTCCCCAGAAGCCTTCAGGGTAAGCCCTGTGGCTCCCTGTGTCCCTCCGGGCTGAGGGACAAGGGCAGGAGGAGATTGTTCCAGGGGGAAGGACTGTGGAAGTGTGGGTGATGCCACCCCTGCTCTGCCCCTCTGACAGCAGGCACAGGATTTGGGCAGCAGGAGGAACAGTCTGAAGGTGCCTTGGCCAGGACAGCTTGTTGGGCACCACGGGCTTTGGAAGTGCTCTCCCCTGGGTTGTGGTGTCAGGGCTGGCTGCTATCACCTGCTCTCTCTGGTCACCCCCTGCATGCAGGGGTCCCGTGGGGAGGTGGAGGGGACACTAGGGGTGACAGGGCCACCACTGAAATGCCACAGTGATGCCAGCATGCCACTGAGGCACTGCAGCAGGGCTGGCATGGGGGGTGAGTGATGAGAGGGCTCCGGTGACACCGTGCCAGGCTGAGAAGGCCAAGGCAGACAGAGCACTGGAGAAGCAGCTCCTTCCCACCACTGTGGGCACCAGCAGCAGCACAACCAGGTGCAGGATGAGGCCATCCTGGAGCAGGAACAGCTGCTGGGGGGAGCCTTCCTGTGCTCAGCCCGTGCTGGGCATGCCCGTGCACAGAGCCCAGCTCAGCACGGGCGGGCACCAGGTCCGAGAAGCTGCAGGAAGGCTTGGAGAGCCGAGGGGGACACGTGGAGCAGTGAGCTCAGGCATGTTGGGTCACCCAGCACAAGCACACCCGTCCTCATCCAACCCTTTCCTTGCACCCCCAGATTGTTGTCTTCGACCA